TAATAAAAAAATGGTCGCCCAAACGCATTACAATGTTTTAAAATCACTCGCCCAAACGCATTACAATGTTTTAAAATCACTCGCCCAAACGCATTATGCTAAATTGCCCAAACACATTGCAATTTTTAAAAATTCGCCCAAACACRTGAAGCCCCACTAAAACATATAATATGAATATTATACATTATACATTATAATAATATAATAATAAAATATATTGTCAACTATCAGAATCGTTATTTGTTTTATATTAATTTGATTWATATTTTTGTACCTATGTGTTTATCTTCATTATATATTTATTTATTTATACATTTTATAATGATATTTATAAAACAATTTATTTCAATATTAGCCATTAATACTGTTTTATTAGATAAATAAAGTGTCAAAACACACTAAACATTATATTAATTTGTAATTGGATCATCATAATGACTTCATGAATTATTTTTCAATTCTTATTTTTAATTAAACGTTTTAAATTTATTTAGAACAGTATTAAATCTTTAAATATCCTAAAAAAGTCATACACCATGCATACACTACAATAGTTAACAATAGTGATAAAATAGAGATAATTTATATTTAACGACTTATTTATATTTAACGACTTATTAATATTTAAATGGTAATTCTGTGTATAGGTTGCTTGTGGATTAGACTTGTATAGGCATGATGGTATTAATCAAAATTTAGCGAGAAGAAATAATATGATATTTTCACCAGATCGTTTAACTAAAATGCTAATGAATCAAGGACAAATAAAGAAACGAGATAATATTATAGAAGATAATATCATGACGAAAACACAAATGGCTGATGTGAATTCTATAAAGCAAACCGTTAATCCAAATTCTGTACAATCATTAGTTAAAAGATGTGTTAGTGCAGTAAGTATAWATTATCATATATGTTATTGCTATGTCAGAAAATTAATAGTAAAAACTGAATCTAAAGCTTATATAATATGTTAAGATATAGTGTGTAAGGGTTATTTGTTTGAAAAAAATGCAATGTTTTTTTTTTTTTTATATTACGGTGAAAAAAATATTWTTCAATTTGCTATATTCATTTTAATGGTATAAATAAATATTTGTCTTATTTTACTATGTAATACTTATTTAGGATAAGACATGTAAGTGTTCAAGTTCACAAAAAAAT